CCTGCTGACCTATAGATAATCTGCAGTTTCAGTACGGAAGTTCTCTCCAGCTCCTGTATGAGCCTGTAAACAGAGCTCAGGAACAGGAATCTGAGCTGACAGAGGGAGCAAAAGGCAAGAAAAGACACATGGTTAGATGTAGACCTGGATTCTACACTGGGCTTGGGATGGGTCATGCAATAAAAAGAACACCACGCTTAGTTTCTGTTTTCAAGGACAAGCAATAGAGGAGTGAGAAGAGGAGGGAATGAACAAACACTTGAGTCCTAGTCTGAAAAGTTAATAGGCATGATAGGACAGCCTTCCCCATCCCTCAAAGGGAACACAAGCAAACACACAAGACCTCCAGCAAACCCACACAGACATTTGGTAATCCCTGTCCCAAAGAACATCTAGTACAAACATCTCATCTAGTAGACTAGTGAGTTCGATTTAGGCCTACAGTTACTATTTCACATGTTCAGATGATGACATGCAAGGACCTGAATAATTACAGAGGAGCGTGCAAGAAAATTCAGATGTGAACTTCTGTGCCGGAAGACAACTAAGTGGAAGCAACACAGCATGGGAACGTCGAAGTGCACATAAACATCCCAGAGCGCAAAAATCTTGCCAGCCCGGGCAAGGCCACCACTTTCCAGCCAGCATGCTGCCTCCCTATGGCCAGAACCAGATGCATCAGAGAAAGGTGCAAGAAGCCTTGTAATGGATAGTTAGAGAAACATGCTTGCATTGCTCAGCAGTTTACTTAATAATTAAGAGCGCATGTTTTATACTTTAGGTTGGGGTGTGGAAATGTATCAATATAAATAACTGTGTACACAGCTTACTGAAAACATATGGTGCAAGTGATTGGACAGCCATTGGACTTCCATCTGAAAGCCAGATTCAAACCTCTTCCTTCAACATCTAAGTGTTCCCTGGCAACATTTGCAACATGGGCATAGCTGCTATCCGTAGTGTTACTGATGCCTCAGTATCACAGGTAATTTATCCCTTAAAGGATATACCTGGATTCTGCTCTGCAGATGCATTTACTCCCAGCAGACCTCGTGAAGGTGTGGAAGAGGGAACCATTTTATATGAAACACAAACTGAAATGAAAACACCCAGCAAAAACCTGAGCCATGGAAAGATGACACCACATCCAAGAGTCAATCAAACTGGCACAGTTCTCCAGAGGTTGGTCACTCATCAGACTGAGCAGGCCATGGGAGCAGTAGAGGGAGGGAAGCTTTTAGAAGGAATGAAATGACCTTAAGAAACGGGAAATGTAGGTAAAATATTAAGAAACACACCCTGAGAAAGTCTCAGAATACTATTTGCAAAAGGGAAGGGGTAGGCCTCATCTCTGGGGATAGGACCCATCTCTGGGGATAGAGAATAAATGCACAGCTCTAGTGAGTAAGCTGTAAGGAACAATGCTTCCCTCCACCCTGCTCTGGTGCTAAATGGGACTCACTGGGGCTCTTCCCTGACTTTCTTAGGATTCACATTAGCGAGATGATTAAGATCCGACAAGGGATAAAAGAACAAGATCTGTACTGACCTGCAGTGTCTCTCCCCTCTTGTTTTAAGTACCTCAGCATTGCACTCATGCTCCACTTGTTTCCATAATCCTCTACTTCAGGATCATCACAGCTAAAAATAAATGAAAGAAGCAAGTTGACACCACTGGCCTACCTCTATGGACTTGCACCAGCCTTAGACCAACTTAGGTAAATCGACCCAACCTCTGGAGATCAAGTTCTATTTTCCAGCCAAGTACCTGACATAATCTCCACTCTTCTTGTTGACACTGTAGTTGGTCAGATGCATGAACTGGTTTTTAATGTTCTTGGATGCCTGGTCATACCTCACTGTTGCAAACCTGTAAAGAGGGATAAAGATTCACAGTATTTCTTGAACAAGTGACATGCTTGCTAAATATGACCTACTACACAGGCCACTCAACAACAGCTAGGGAGACAATGCATGTAATGAGACTTCAAACGCAACCTCTCCTCACAAAAAAATGCAGTTTATTCTCAAGGGCCACATCCAGATGCATTTAGTCTCTTTTTCAGTGTCTTAGAGCAGGGAGCTCCATTTGTTCTCCTGGGATTTTTCACAGCCTAACAGTGCACCCATCATGCTAGGCACATTTTTTTCCTCAACTGCTTAGATTTGTGGTCCTCAAGCATTCTGGCCAAACAGGCCACTTTGCTTTAGTCAGTCAGTGTCACAGTCCCTTCAATTTCACAATAGGACCTACCATGAATACGTAAGATACACTGGTCCTGGGAAATGCACACATTCAGAGCAATCATACTACATATGCATACCACAGTCAATATTTCCTGAAGTCTCACACAAGCACAGCTCGTTTCTTGTACTCCAAGGATGCCTTAGGAAAGGCTGAGGGTGGGAACCGATTTCTACCACCACCATCTACACAGCCTACAACAGCCAATCCTCTTTCTCAAGAGGCATCCAGGAAACCAGGTACAACCTGCAGGCCAGATCAATTTGTCCAACAAGGCAGCATCTGCTCCAGGGTGCTGTCATTCTCAGGGACTACGCAGCCCTTCCATATCCCACAGATGTCACTTAGCTGTGTACAAGGAAAGGGACTGTAGGGAAGATCACAATCAGGAGGAAGACACTACTACAAGTTTATCTAGTCTTCATATGAACCCTGTTACAACCAACAGTACCACAGTTAAATCAGCCTGTTTATGGAAACAGTGGTAACCTCCTGATTAAAAGGCATTACCTGTATTGTAACCAAGTACTCATTACCACTCCCTTAGCCATACACTACCATGACAGATATTTGTGTTGAAATGAATCAAATAACTGATCCGACTGAAAAATAGCCCAGGATTTTGTTTTGTAAGGTGTTTGAGGGATGATTTTTTTTTGGTTTTGTGTTGAGGGGGTGGCAGAGGGAACAGGATGTGAGAGGGAGAAGGGTGTGAAAGGACAAAGGTAGATCAGCTCCCTGATCCAGCTACAAAGTTGTAAGTTGGTAAGCTTTTTCTTTTCCCCCTCTCCAGGGGCCACACAGACTTAAGCTATCCATACTCTCTTTCCTCAGCTATCCACCTTCATGTTAGCTGCACAATTACCAGCACAAGGGTGTCTGTCCTGCACAGCAAACCATCTAAAAACTGCCTTTTTTGCTAAGCTATTTATCAAATCAGATCAGTTCACTGCATGGGTACAGAAATGCTTGTGGTGACACAATGCAATGGACACCACAAGCCCCTGAATGAGCACAGGAATACAGCACAAAATTGCACTGAAGCAATTTAAACAGTAATCTTATCAATAGCACACCTCTTTAAGAAGAGGTTGAATGAATGCTGAAACAATATAAGCTTCTGGGGGAGGGGAAGGAGCTTTCTGCAACCAATCGCTAGTACAGTTGCCCATGCTACCCCATTCCAGTTTGCTCTGTGCAGCCAGAGGGGAACTGATCATATACCTGTGCCAGGGAAGGAAAGGGTCCACATGAGAATGGGAACAGCAGACAGGAAGAGTGCAGGACTGTTTCTCCTGATAGCCATGCCAATTTAAAGTGTTTAAAATTACACTTTGTGCAAAAGTTGCTTTCTAAAGGTGTAGTTGCATGATCAGCCTTTGGCAATCTAAGGATGCACTGCAGCTGAAAGCTCATCACCTGCTCAGTTGCACACTCCAGCCACTCTACCTGATCTGCTCCACAAATTATGTAGCCACAGGCAAGTCAGATCACTTCACAGATCTCATTGAACAGCCACTTGAGCAACTATAGAAAGATACAAATTAACTTTCAATCAGATGCAGGTACACCCTCTTCCAGACATAACAAAGGAAAGTATTAGGATGCAGAGTCAGGACAGAAAGAGGGCAGTGCCTATTTTAGGAGCAGGCCACAAAACAACTTAAAAAAAACCAAACAAACTCAAACATTAAGCAGAGAATAATACTATTTGTGGCAACATTTGCAGAATCCTACATCCGGGCAAGGATATGCCATCAAGTTAAATATAATGTAATAGAATAGTTAGAGTTGGAAGGGATCTACAATGATCATCTAGTCCAACTGCAATCATTTTCTTATTCTGCATGTAATCAATTCCTGTTTCAATATATATTTTAGGCCTCAGACTTTGGAGAAAAATAAATAAAACAAAAGATCAAGGGCAGAATCCAGGGCATATGGTTGGCAGAATGACCAGTGTGAGCCACTGCTAGCCACCACAGCTCATAACAGCAAACATGTTCTAGTTGAAAAAAACAAAACAACAACAAAAAAATAATCAACAAAAGAAAAAACACCTTCTTTTTCACTCTGACCATCCTCCTATACCACAATAGCTTAAGATGCCAACGTCTCAAAAGAGATGAAGGGGAGTAAGAAAGGGTAGAGGCGAAGTCAGACATATGCTATCCTAAGAAGTCCTGGCAAGAGGGAAAGGAAGTACGAAGGAGAGCAGGGTTAGTTGCAAGAAAAGGAGAGTAGATCTGGGTGAAGCCTCAAAGCAGGAAAAAAGAAAAATGGAAGAGGGAGACAGGAAGGGGAATTTGGAGCATCTGGCTGTGCAATGAAGTTAGTGTCCAGGAAAGAATGCATCCCCAATTTGCTTTATTAATAGTCACCTCTCTTCATCCTTCCCCTATTATTTTCCATAGTTCAGAAGAAGCTGAGCTATACAAGGGCATCTAACAAGTTACACAAAAAAATCCTTCCTTTAGAAAGAACTGCCAAAAAAAAAAATCTCATTTCTCAGTGAAAATGAAGCCTCTACTGCCCTCCCTTGGTAGCCATTTTGAAAAATATCTCTCTCTCCACAAGAACTATACCATGAAGATGCTCATCGGATTAAATCTATCCTTAAATACACAGGTGGGAGCAGGGGAAAAAAAACCTCCATGATGTAACTAATTTGAAGCGCCAAGACTAAAAAAAGCGAAAAAGATCTTGCACCATATTTTCTGAGCTTTAACTACATATGAAGTCAGAGCAGCTGGCAACAGAAAAGAGCTTGGAAGTCTGGATCCCCCTTCCACATATTTCCACAGCTTAAAGTATTTGAATTTTTTTTCAGTTTAACTGTAAGTTTCCTGGATTTAGCAATTCTGTTTTGAAAATACTGACAACAGCCCTATCATATATTTTGTTCTTCATCACGATTTCATCGTCTCCACCTTAACCATCATTTATTGGGAGCATACTGAAAGCATTTGTTGATAATATGCTTTCAGACAGATCCTGGAAGATACTGAGCACAAGCAGCAAACTATTTCACAAAGTCATGGCTCCCTTGATATTTTGAAGCAGAAGGCAATTAGGTTCACCATGCTTATCAGCTTCTTTCTTTTTTTAATTATGTACATATTCAGAAATATGAAGATATGAACCCCTGGCAGACATAGACAATACTTCTAAACAACAGTATTTCTTTACTTTGCAAATGCTTGCATTAGCTTCCTTCTACAGAGATCGTCCTTAATTATTAGGTGGTCTGAACTCCATGCCCATAGAATTTACACTTCCATGGGAACTGATTATTCAGGAGGGATTTCAAAGTGTTCTAGAGCTCTCAATATATAAACTTGCTTTTCTACTAGGATACTGTCATCTTAAGGGATATCATGGGCCAGTTCAGCAATGCATCAAAAAAAAAATACAAAACATTAAATGACTCAAGTCTACTACCAAAAAACCCCAAACTTTAAAAAACAGAATCAAATGCCAGCTTAATACATTCTCCAAGAGCTGGTTTGACAGCCTTACTAGCCTCATGCTAAGTCAAGTCTGCAAAAGGAAAATCCAAGTTATTTCTAGAGTCTCTATGAATAGCCTCTGGATGTTAGAATGGTGACAGATCACAAGTACAACACTGGCAATAGCCCACACCCCTTATACTGTGTATCACACTTGCTTGGGATGGAAGAGCATTACTACCACTGAAATACCAGTTACGGTAACCTTCAGTACTCTATAGTTCCACAGTTTTTCATACTATACATTACTATATCTTTCTTCCACTGTAGTGACAAGGCTACTCAACTATCACACTTGTTCTCTCCAGGAAAGACAAGAGACTTGCATGCTACAGAATGTCTTGTTTCAACAGAAATTTACAGGTTCTTTTTAGAGGCACTAAGGTCATTAGGAACAGGCCTTACAGTAAGTGTGGAAAGTAGGAAAACTTCAATGCTTGTAAAATCTTCTAGGTTTTAACCTGAGATTAGAATAAACTCTTGAGAAATCTTACAATCTTTTAGAGGTCGGGGCCCCCCTCTTTTCCAATTTCATTTCAGGGCCCCCCTCTTCTCCAATTTCAGGCCACTTCTAAGAATAGAATATATGTCACCTAAAAGATAAGGGCCAAGATCCTAAAAGCAATTTAGAAAATATATGGTAAGGTGGCACAGAAAATAAAGGGCAAGCCTGATATTCTCCCGGAACACAATTTAGCACAAGCGCATGCTGCAACATTCTGCACGAGCTATTTTCCTAAGCACCAAAGGCTTCATGCCCGGGTATCTCATATTGCTATAATCCAGCCAAAGAGTGATGAAGGCACAAATAACTGAGGCCAGGTCATCATCTGCCAGGATAGGCCTGTTTCCTAGCCAAAGCATTACTCGTGGATGCTGCTATGCGGGAGCCTGCAATCAGCCAGGAATCCAAGAGTACTCCTAAACTGGAGGCTGGACCATCCACACGCAGAGGCACATCTTCAGCTAAAGGAGACTATTTTATTAAGTGAAACTCTTCAAAACGCTATCTTCTGCTCACTAATACCACCTCTTTCTTGCTCTGCTTCAAGCAACTCTTATTTTCCCCCACTGTGATCTCATCCTGTCCAAGCTCTGGACGACTCCATAGGCTTT